ACCTTGCCATGGCATAAGCCGCAGCACTATCTGTTATTAAAGCTATAGCTTTGATATTCTTAGATTTTAAATTGCTAAATAACTCTTCAATTTTTAGAATAATGTCGCTAGCACGTGATCGTTCTGCACTAATATCTTGAGCTTTTCATATTAGAGACTCACCAGAGGAAGTAATTAAAACACTTCCTAATAAGTTCTGATTAATTACGTTAGTCCAGCTATCCAAAGTTATAGTAACCCCTACTTTATCTTTTTGTGCAGTTATTCCAATTTTGGATATAAATTCAGAAACCGCCTTACTTAAAATTTTTCTACTCAATAATTTGCGAGTTGGAAGAGTAATTTTAGAGTTAAGATATTTAAAAGCAGCTAATGAATCTAAGTTTTCAACCCATCTAAAGCTCCATCTGTTTGCAGCTGTTATTTTGTAATAGAATTTTGATTGATTTGTTTTAGAACACTCACGTATAACATGATGATCTAATGATCCCTTATATTCTTCTGAATCACTGACTTTGATCACTCAATTCATTAGTACCATCTATTATTATAATTTTAGAGTTAGTATCAAATCTAAAATTTGAAGATAAAAAAACAATATAATTTATATTTATGTTTGCGCTTTTTTTTTGATTTCTCATTATCTGTGTCATTTAATATTTTTTCAGCCTCACTTTCCCCTTTCTTATTTTTGAAATATACACAGTTTTTTAAATGCAACTTAACAAGCCACTTTGTATTGACAAATTTACACGAATATGCATAATTATGGCCTCTTGCTTCTTTACATGCAGTATAAATAGCAAATCGATTATATTCATTAGACTTTTCTTTCAGAACTTCTATGAATTCAGTCAAACGATGCCAAATGGATTTTTTATTTTCTATTATTAGCAATGGTAATTTGAAAAGCTATGTTCTCTTTAATATATATTAATGTTGCCATTATATATAAAAATCAATTTTTGATAAGTAAATATTGTTTTATAAAAATAGTTAAAACTATAGCTAAAAAAATAATTACTTTTAATGACTTATGCTCAAGTTTGAGCTTATATTAAACTAAAACTTATATAATGGCAAGCATCCCATTCTTTCTTGTTTCATTTACTCCAAAGCTTATTAGCTTGTCAACAAATACAGAAGTAACGAAACAATATAAATTATATTGAAACGGGTTGTAATGAGATACTGACTTGGGAGAGTATTTTTAATTTATTTGACAGTTTTATTTAGTGTATAATATATAGTTATTGATTATTTTT